TGATATTATGTGGAGCTGGGAGGTCTCTTGTGGACTAGTGTCCTGAAGTTGGCTCTCCCACCTCAGAGGCACAGCACTGAGTCCTGGCTGCAGCACCAAGAGCCTTTCATCCACACGGCTCAGAATAAAAGGGAGAAAAAGTAGGAAGGGAGGGAGGGAGGGAAGAAGGAAGGAAGGGAAGAAAGAAAGAAAGGGAAAGAAAAAGAAAAGAAGGGGGGAGGGAGGGAAGGAAGGAAGCAGGGAAGGAAGGAAGAAAGAAAGAAAAGAAAGAAAGAGGAAAGAGGATAAAATAAAATAAGATAAAATACAATAAAGTTATTAAAATAAAAAATATTAAGAAAAAAATTTTTTTAAAGAAAAAGAAACGGATGGATAGAATCCTAGGACAAATGGTGACAGCGAAGCTATACAGACAGAATCTCACACTGAAGCATACACATACACACTCACAAAAAGAGGAAAAGGGGGAAAAATAGTAAATCTTGCTCTCAAAGTCCACCTCCTCAATTTGGGATGATTCGTTGTCTATTCATGTATTCCACAAATGCAGGGTACATCAAGTTGATTGTGGAGCTTTAATCCGCTGCTTCTGAGGCTGCTGGGAGAGATTTCCCTTTTTCTTCTTTGTTCGCACAGCTCCCAGGGGCTCAGCTTTGGATTTGGCCCCGCCTCTGTGTGTAGGTTGCCGGAGGGCATCTGTTCTTCGCTCAGAAAGGACGGGGTTAAAGGAGCATCTGCTTCCGGGGCTCTGGCTCACTCAGGCCGGCGGGAGGGAGGGGCGCGGAGTGCGGGGCGAGCCTGCGGCAGCAGAGGCCAACGGAACGTTGCACCAGCCTGAGGCACGCCGTGCGTTCTCCCGGGGAAGTTGTCCCTGGATCCCGGGAACCTGGCAGTGGCGGGCTTCACAGGCTCCCCGGAAGGGAGGTGTGGAGAGTGACCTGTGCTCGCACAGTCTTCTTGGTGCAGGCAGCTGCAGCCTTAGCGTCTCATGCCCGTCTCTGGGGCCCGCGCTTTTAGCCGCAGTTCGCGCCCGTCTCTGGAGCTCCTTTAAGCAGCGCTTTTTATCCCCTCTCTTCGCGCACCAGGAAACAACGAGGGAAGAAAAAGTCTCTTGCCTCTTCGGCAGGTCCGGACTTTCTCCCGGACTCCCTCCCGGCTAGCCGTGGTGCACTAACCCCCTGCAGGCTGTGTTCACGCTGCCAACCCCAGTCCTCTCCCTGCGCTTCGACTGAAGCCCAAGCCTCAGCTCCCAGCCCCGCCCGCCCTGGCGGGTGATCATATTAGCCTCTCGGGCTGGTGAGCGCCGGTCGGCGCCGATCCTCTGTGCGGGAATCTCTCTGCTTTGCCCTCCGCACCCCTGTTGCTGTGCTCTCCTCGGCGGCTCCGAAGCTCCCCGCTCCGCCTCCCGCAATCTCTGCCCGCGAAGGGGCTTCCTAGTGTGTGGAGACCTTTCCTCCTTCACAGCTCCCTCCCACTGGTGCAGGTGCCGTCCCTATTCTATTGTCTCTGTTTATTCTTTTTTCTTTTGCCCTACCCTGGTACATGGGGAGTTTATTGACTTTTGGGAGGTCTGAGGTCTGCCAGCGTTCAGTACGTGTTCTGTAGGAGTTGTTCCACGTGTAGCTGTATTTCTGGTGTATCTGGGGGGAGGAAGGTGATCTCTGCATCTTACTCTTCCGCCATCTTCCCTGAACCCCCCAGAAATTCATTATTTTTAATGAATTAAGGTGAATAATAGAAATCTACAATGCTGTATTAGGAAATGTCTTGCAAAAGAAATCGCAAATCTCATTTTATAGTATCTTATTTTGGGAGGATAAAATCGGTTTCTAGATAACAAGATACTTCCTGAACCCAAACTAATTTTTAATATTAAGCTGTCCTAATGTTCATTTATTGTTAATATACTGAGGTTGCTGATCTAGATTTTCTAAACTGATGAATAGAGAGAGAGGAGGTACATTTTAACTTGATAACTTTCCAAGAACCTGATCTTAGCTGTCATTTTCTTGAGATGTGCTCTGTAAACACCTTTCTTCTAAAATTCCCACTTTTGCTCCATTCTCCAATATAAATGCTCTCATTCTATCACATCATCCAGTTTTATATTCTTAACATTTAAAACAATCTGAAATTACCTTGCATATACAGTTGTTGTTTATTAAATTTTTCCTCATTACAAAATTAAATTCCGTAAGAGTATAGATCTTTTATTATTCAATACTGAATCCCAGACACCTAGAATACTGCTTATTAGTTAAATGTATTTTTGGACAAATGGACTGATGGGTGACTTTTTTAATTTTTATTTTTGGGCAGGGAGTAATGATCGATAGCACCAAGGATATCATTTTTAGCAGTCTTAATAAAGCTAACCAATTAGGGTCTCTCTTAGAAATCTTGTCCTACTCTTATTGATGTTGGTCTATTCCTGGGCTGTCTCAGATAGCCTAGTCCACGTAGGTACTAATTCCTGTGCCCTTTGCTTGCTTTGTAATCATTCCCTGTCCAATTTAGAGAATTACCAAATGTATTTGTTCCTGGATAGAGCAGAGGAAGGTTAATCGGTGGAGACTCTTTTGGAATTGTTTAGAGGAAAATCTGGAAGTACCAGCCCACATATCTTGTCCTATCCTGATTAATTTGTGGAGTTTCTTCTTTCTAATTATCTTCCAATAGAACTTTAGAAGTGAGGGGAAGAAAAGAAAGTTGATTAATTTTACCCCTGTTAAAACAGCAAGTTAAAGGGTAGCTTGTCTGGAAACAAGGAGTTTGTGAAGAAACTGGGTGATTGTGAAGAGGCTAGGCCAATTTCTAATTACAGTTCACTGAAGACAAAGCTACTCATTTGAGGTATATTTTCTGAGATTTCTTTAAACTTTTAACTTTTTTTATTATTATGTTTTTCCTAATAATAATAGCTGATGATTTTATCACATGATTGGCACATGAAAATCCGTAAAATCTAAACAGTGTTGCATTTTGGGACAACAAAAATTAGGAAACTCTTTATTCCAAAGTTTGTTGTGCAATGAAAGACCCCTAAGGTATGAGGCAGGAATCTGAGTAGCAGGAAATAAAATCTGTCTAACATAAACAAAAAGAGAGATATTTTTGGAAGAATACTAGGCAGCTCACAGGATGAAAGGAAAAGCTGAATAAACAAATCTCAGAAAGCCAAAACCAGGGCAACTCTGGGAGGTCTTTTCACTAGCACATTACTATTAAGGTGACGAAGCTACAGTGACTTTTCACCTTCTGTCTTTCGACTTGAATTTTAAATTTTCAGGAGTAGACTACCGAAGTGAACATAATGATGTGGAGCAACAATTTCCCCTCTTCTTCTCCTGTTTTTACCTAAAAGCAACAAGATGAACTGAAAGGAAATTTTTTTAAGTTACACTTTGGGCAGTATGGAGAAAATTGGGGAATGAAACTGAAATCAGTGAGAGTGTAATTCTAATAATAGCAAATATTTGTTGAGCGTTTACTAAGGACCAGACACTATGTTGAGTGTTTTGCATCCCTTAGCTTATTTAATTCTCATGATAACACTATGAGTTAAGGATAGTAATAATATATTTTACATTTGGGAAAATTAAGGCTTAGAGCAGCGGTCCCCAACGTTTTTGGCACCAGGGACCAGTTTCATGGAAGACAGTTTTTCCACAGGGGGGGTTGGGGGGGTTGGGGGGGATGGTTCAGGCGGTAATGCGAGCAATAGGGAGTGATGGGGAGCAGCATATGAAGCTTCGTTCGTTCACCCACCACTCACCTCCTGCTGTGCGGCCCGGATCCTAACAGGCCGCAGACCATTACTGGTCCAAGGCCCGGGATTGGGGACCCCTGGCTTAGAGAAGTTAAGTAACTTGTTTAGGTAGTATATTAGCAATTAGGAGTAATCAGGAGGCTGTCGTAGTAATTTGAAGCAAGAAACTATAAGGGCCTAAGCTAAGTTAGTGAGATAGAACCAGTAAAGCTTAGAGAACGGTTGTATAGGGAATGTAAAAAGGGGAGGAGTTGAGAATAAATCCTAGGCATCTGGGTCAGAAAGTGAATGGATTTTTATTCAAAAGGAGAAAGTTTTGATGATAGAAGTATTATGATGCATTTGATGAGCTAACTTGTCCATTTAAGGCCTTTTACTTGCCTGTGGGATGTGTCTGCAGGTCTCCCACTATATTCTTGCCCCCTTGCAATCTCTTTTCCACACACTTCCCACCATGGCCTTCAAGGCCCTACCTATCTTACTTGGTTACATACAGCTCTTTCC